TTTGGTACCGGTATTTGGTACCGGTCAAATTTGGTATGTAGTGAGAGAACCGGTGGGTGGAGAGAGTTTTATGGTAGACAATTAGTTACTTTGAAAGTATAAACACCAGATTTTATGTTTAATAATGTAAATAATGAATAAGATTGTACAAGAGTCATGTATACACACGTAAATATATAAAAATCTTGCTTTATTTATAAAGATAAGGCTTACTTATAGTTAGTCATCATAAACATTTTATGTTGTCATGCGTATCAGCACTATTTTACCCCCCCCCCTCCAAAATCCTTTTTTATATAATCAATTCGGGTATAAGATATACACAGAAAATAGCATAAATTATATTTTATGTTAATTTATGTGTATGTTTCTTTACTGGCTATTATTGTCTAGTTATTGAGACATGCTTTTTTTCTCAAGTATTTCTAAATCGTTTAATATTCCCAAAAATTTCAAAAAAAGATACAAATATACCAATTATGAAATGATTTAAGATTACTACATTTTGTTTAATAATAAGGGCAATTAACAACTGAGTAAAATAATCTGAATGTCGTTATTATTTGCTCTATTTTTTTGAAAGTTATGTTACAAATGTTTGGTGATTTATAAAACTTTTTCTAAAAACCGTCAGGAATTTTTTTGCGTATTTATTCAGCATCATAATGACTATGCTTTTCACGGTTGAAACCAAATTAAATTCAGGAACACTGAAAAAAACAAAAAACAAATGTAATATTACACTTGCCATTTTTACTATAGATCTTTTATTAAAAACTAGTAGAAATAAAAATTTCTTTGTTGAACAAAAAAGAAGAAAAAAAAGAAACCTACAAGGAGCAAAGATTAGTTGAAAAATTTTAAATTGTTGCTTAAGAAACACATATCTTTTGAAAGTAAAAATTATTCATTTCGTAATTTCGAAAACAAACCTTATGTACTATGTTGCCTATAGTTAAATAATACCGGTAAAAGCATTACATTTTTAATTATCAAAATCTTTTCAATCATCAAAAATATTTTTAATCATCACTACTATTTTTAAAATTTAATCATTTATATAAAATTTCGTCTACTTTCACAGTTATAAAAATAAATAACTTTTTCAGATCATTATATTAGAACAAATAATTTTTTCCTTGTTTCAGTGTAAAAATACAATAAATTTTAATTGGATATAATTTATATCGGATATATTCAATAAATTGAAATTAAATTTAATAGTAAATGAAAATATTTATCTTTAAACTTAATTGTCTCCGTCTTTCTCACTATAAAGAGTTATAATTTTTGGGTCATTTAATTACGATAAAAATTTCATTAATCTAAAATAGCAACTTATTTAATAAATAAAAATTATTAAAAAATGATAATATGAAAAAGGGTTTATAAAAATGTTTTGGTTAAACGTATTCTAAAGGTAACAACTTGTGTTAAAAACATAAGTGTTTTATCTAAGATTTGTGATTCTTGTCCAATTCAACAGAAAGTAGAGAATTAAATTTTTTTTCAAAGAAGTAGCCTATAGATAAACAAAGCAAATAATTTATTCTGTTTCTTAAAAAAAGTGAACAACGAGACATGCGTAAACATAAAATATGTTACTTGTATATTAATTAATTACCTTCAGGTTGTTTTGTATCTTTGTTATCTATTTTTTAAAAGGATCACGTATGTAAATGTCGCCGAAAGAGCGTAAAAGATTTAATAAACCACATATTTCACGAGTGTTTTATGATATATCTGTCCCACGTAAAAAAAAAGTAGACGTAAAAAGTCTTAAGTAGATGATTTTTATATTACTTTAATATTGTTAATCATTTTTAACTCACAAATAAACTTAATTTTTTGCGCTTAAATCATGAAAATATTATGATAAGACTGACACGAAGCAATAATTTTCCTTATTAGCAATAAAATAAATTTCTTTTAGCATTCATTATTTTTTTCCATTCGAACACAATTGATAAATAAAATAAGTATAGAAACTTACAGTTAGTTTACTTCGATCATTTACAAATAAATTTCTTTTATTATCCGATGGTTTTTGCAAAGAATGTGATTTTCTATTAATCTTTAATTTTATTTTCTATCATCGACTGTAAATGTCTTTTAGTACACTATAAAAAAAATTTGTTGTATAGTCAGAGTTATCACTTTTTTTGATTTTGAGGTTAACTAATATTTTTTACAGTGCACATAGTCATGCTTTTATTTATTTTTTTCGCTTTCATGGTTTTATATATTTATTATTAATTTTCTGTTTGTTTACTGACAACACATATTTTCATGCTCATTAGATTCAATTTATGGCTTCATTGCAAAGGCATATCGTTTAAAAGAGTAGCCCATTTTTAATAATATATTTGCACTAACTCTTTGAAACAATTGTTATTTTGTTAATTTTATGTAACTTTTGCACCCTAACCAAAAATTCTGCATTTAAAAATTTATTTAGTTTACCTGAATACCAAAAATGGTTTTAAATTTTTTTTCAGTGTATTGAATAATATCGCCTTATAAAAATTATCACAAAATAATAAAATAATATAAATAATATAAAAATTATTAAAAAATGACTTTTTAAGGACATTAGAAAGTTATGTATTTTTAAGCAAATACTTATTGAGCATAAAAATAACGTCGCTTCAAACTTTTATACACGTATAATATCATTCTATTTTCTACAACCAAATTATTTTAATTGCATATCAGGTAAATATTTGATAACCTGTTAATTAAACTCTAGTAAAAATTCATTTTCAATGAGTAAAGTAGATAGCTAATGGATTTTCTGTTAGAACATTTTAAAATAATTTGATTTTTATGAATCAAGATATTGTCCAATTCATAAATACAATTTTCAAATTGAAAAATTTAGTTTTTATCTTTAATATGTTGAAATATTTCTAGCAGTTTGGTTTATTTTGAATTTTTGGGAAATATTTTTTAATATAATTGTTAAGTTTTGGGTTATTTAAACTATACACTATGCAGAAATATCATAAATATATTAGGTGTCTTGATTTAGTTTTGTGATATTTAAGAAAATGTGTGATGGAAAAACATTCATTTTTTTATGTTAAAAGCAACCGAAGATTAATTTTTGAGTTATAAAATAAATTTATTTTTGCATTCGTTGTTATTATAATTGCCAAAAAAGTTTTTCATTAATTATTTATAAATTTGCTTACTTTATGGGCTTAATATCAACTAAGTAAATAGTTACTAAAGTCAAAAAGTCTTGATTTATGTGATTCTCTCATCTTATGATTTAAAAAAAAACTCGAAAATATGTATTTAAAGTTTAAAAACAATTTTTGAGAACAAAAAGGCTTCTTCATACGATTTTAAGAGTGAAAAAGATATAAAGAATAAATAATTCAGATAAACAATTTATGTTAATATTCTCTATCAGGGAGTTTGCGCTTTGTAACACTGCTTATGCAAAAACCTGTGCAAAAATACTCCATTTTTGTACAAAATTTTAGTGTCAACCTGAATATAATCTAACAGCTTTTTCATGTCATTAATTTTTTTTTCATTTATTGTGCACTTGGGTATTTTATTATTTAGTCTAACAATTCAGTAGAGAATGTTATAAATTCTTTCCTCTTGCTTATAAGTCAAAAATATTCGTTAAATAACTGATAGAAAAGTTTTCTATTATTACTATTATCAGCTTGTTTTCTAATCAAATGTCATAAAGTTTGCGAATAGAACTATGAAAACACTTTCTAAGGTGCAAAAAAAGCTGTCTTTCTTTTTGTAAAATAAAATGAATTTGAAATAATTGATTGCAGTATTAAAACAATTTATGCCATTGAAATTTTTTTAATATTTTGAAAATATTTAAAATTCAAGTTAAATCATAGAATTTAATAAATTAACGGATTAAGCTCTTAAAACTTTCCTTGTATAAAAATTAATATAAAAGCTTATAAAGGTTAGATAATTTATTTATTGCTAAAATAATCTTAAATTGGCTGTACTCTTCAAATTATTTGAACTCATAAGTTTCACTTAAATGTTTTCTAATAATTAAAACTGATTTACTTCATAAAAAATTATTTTGTTATTATGTAAAAAAAGGGTAAAGTTTTATACTTATTCTGCAAATGCTTAAAATTTAAGTTTACCAGCATTCACTAGGCTGTTACAGATTTTAGAGCGATTTTTTTCCCTTCAAATTATCATTAAAATTGTCCGCAACATTACTATGGTACTAAGTTGAGCCAGAGTATCGAACTTCTTAAACTTAATTACGTGATATAGTATGGTTCAATTTAGCACTCTATTTACTTTGCAATAAATTACGGTTTAAGGTTACGGTCTACGATTAAATTACGGTTGATATTAGGGATTCACTGCACTGTTAAAAATTTACCGGAAAAAATTGTTAAATAACAATTTATTGAATTGACATTTTACCATATTCAAACAAAATAGTCAAATAACCATAAAAATAGTATTCAACCTGTTAACTGAGAGAAAAACCGTTTATTAACTATTTTTATCTAATACGGTTAAACAACCAGAATTTTATCGCACTAACTAAGTCCACCTAATGAGGAAACTAAATTTCTTGCAGTTGGGTATATATTATAACCGTATGGGCTAATTTGTCAATCTCATGACCAACAGAACAGGGGTTCGAGTCTCAGCGTTGTCACCACAATATTTCCTCGTTCCCTTCGACACTGTTCCTTCAAAGTCCGTTAAATTTCTTTTTTATGGTTTTGAAACTATACTGGTTGTAAATGGTTAACCATATTAGTTGTAAATGGTTTCAAACCCGTAAAGATTAAATTGTTCTTTAGCAATGTTTTGGAGGGCAAACCATTGCCGGTTATTTTACCGTAATTTTAAAATGAAAATTTTAACAGTGTATGGAGCAATTTTTCTGAATGTGTTATCCCTTGTAAGGTTTTCATTTTATTTTCTGTCTCTATATTAAAATGGTCATAGTTTCTAAGCCTCGACTTCTTTTTTCCTTCCAGGTACAAGGAAGTGTTAACATTCTAGGAAAGTGTGGAATTACCAAGCCGCCATAACGGATTCCTCGAGCTTTGAGGGGTGGCCTTTCCCTTTCCTTCTCTTCTCCTCTGACCTTAATCCCTGGTCCAATGCATTTCTTCCTCCCTTTCTGGATCCTCACAACCTCATTGGTATTGTTATGGGTTGAAAGTGCAATCTCATCACCTGTCAACAATAACAAAGTAAGTTACAATGACTTTTCAGTGAATGCATATCAGTCCATGTCTTTTTGAATAACATTCAACAATGAAGAATAGCAAGATGAGTACTTATGGCAGATTTGTATTAATGACTTGAATATATGTGGATAAAAAACGCCGTTTCCCTTTGTTCCGTTCATTTTTACGTACTTTGATGGATTAAATCTTTAATTTTATGTGATAATGTTGCATAACTTGATCTAATTTTTTTTGAATAGCTATCTCTTATTACAAACCAATCTGTCTTTCGTTATGAACTCACATTGCTTTTTATTATGTGATTCAGATTTTAATAGGAATTATTACCGTGAGAAAAACATGAGGGTAATAAAAAGTGCAATAAAACTAGTACTCTTATCCTCATTACTTGGTTAAGAAATGGCATACCATCAAGTTTTATTTATGACAAACAGCCGATTACCTTGTAAAATGAAATAATATGTACAGACTCGTCTAATATTGTCTTCATTAAAATAATCTTAGTGACTGCCAACACAAATAACGTTCCCTATTCGGATTTTTTTCAGGATTTATTTTACAAATATTTCGGATAATAAGTGATTAGGATTTTTTTTTTCTTCGGGAATCGTTACCGTGTGAAAAACACGAGTAAAAGGAAACTAGAACGAGTCTCAAGTAATATTCATGACTTGATTTGAAAATGACGCATCACCAGACTTTGTTTTTAGTTGTACTTAATATTGTCTCGCAATGTATTGCTATCTTACATCCAATGTATAGCTATCCTACATCCAATGTATAGCTATCCTCCATCCAATGTATAGCTATTCTACATCCAATTTATCCTATCCAATGTAGTTTATCCTACTTAATCCTATTTAGTATCAATTTTTTATCCTTCATATGAAGGGTAATATAAAGTGAAAGGGGAATTTTTTTTACTGGAGTGCGGTGACTTCGCGGTGGTAAGGGGGAGGATGTCACAGTTCAGACGATTTCATTTTAAATCCACATTGAAAACAAAAGGTTTTTTGCATACTAGCAAAGTTATTGTAATCCTACAAAAATCTGGGTATCTTACATATCTCAGTTTTATAATTATTGATGTAATGCAAATTCATAAAGATTACCTATATTTTCTTTTTATTATAATTATAAAGTTTTCTGAGTAAAAAATTAACCAACATCAACGCAGGAACTATAACTTTCAAGAAATAAATTTAAATATATCCGAAAGAAACTATGATTTATTCAGACAGTTCCGTATCAAAAATCGTTGTTGTAGTGAGTTCCAACTAGTATAGAAAGGAAAATATATTTGCTAGCATTTTTGAAAAAGTAGCTGTATTTTCAACTATTAAAATATGGTTAACTTTTGTATTAGAAGCATCAATAGGGAATTGCAATGAAATACATTCAGTAAAATTCTTCTTTTGGTAAAAAATTGTTCTGAATAAAATATACTTTTATTATTTTGAACAGCAACAAACACAGTTATCTCTAATTATACAAGAGTTGTTCAAAAAATGGCTAATTTAATACGACTTATAATAAATATATTTTTTAAGAGTAGAAACTAAGAATTTTTTATTCCTCTAATGCTCTTATCATTTAACAAATTCATAACGAAATGGAATTTTTTTTCGCTCAAAAAAATGAACCATTTTATGTTAAAAAAAGACTAACTTACTAATTTATTTATCAAAAAAATTATTAATTCGGTATATGTAACAAACAAAAAAATGGGCATTTTTATAAGTATTAAATTTTTGCCACGTTCCTCAAGGATTTCAAAATTAGAAATGTGGGTTATTTCATTATCAGTATTCGTTCTCATGTTAGCTTTCACTTTAAAGGAAGTGGAAAAACTGGTTGCCTCTTCCTTCCCGGCATTAGCCCCCAAGTAAATAAGTCAGAAAAGCGATAAGAAGCACTTTCACTGAAAAAAAAAAGAACTTTCCCTTTCTGAACCCCTAAGAAATTCCACTTATCGAAGAAAAAAGAGATACAAGAATTTCAATAAAATGTAGCTGCATGAACTAAATATTAGTTTGGTGGAATAAATTATTTACGCTATCACTTGTTTCTTAACTACTTTTATGACCTTATTTCGCAGATTTAATAAGCTTAAATCACATCGAATTAAAATGTTTATTTTTAATTTCGCAATTTTTTAGATTGTGAATATTTGATATCATCAACTAAACTTATTCAGTTATTTTTTGCTATTATGTTTCAGACGAAAATAGGCTTATTTAAGTAAAATGTATGTTAAATAAAAAGTTTGATTGATAAATTCTATAAAAAAAAACTTCATAGATTTTATAATCGATGCAACAATTTAAAACATTGCCTTAGAGGAGAATGCTTTGTTCACGTAACATCATATCTGCTTCAATTTATCTAATCTGACTTCAAGATAGAAATTAGATTTTTAAAGCAATGTAATTAACAAACGTCAGAAGAATTAACTTTTTCTGCTCAGACAAATTTTTTTAAATTCTATTTTTAAATGAATTGTATTTAATGCTCTAGTTCAAATGAATTTTTACATAACTTTCAACAGCGTTTCGTTAAATAAAATTTTGTTCAATGTTGAGATGCTTATAATTAATAAGAGATTAATGTACAGGCAAAATATCACTTTAATGTAGAATTCAAGTTTTATTAATAATATTTTTGAACTCAAATATAAAAGAATCTTAATTAAGTACTCGAGAAATTAAACATATAAATCATATGATTCAATTTTAATGAATGTCAAATATTAAGTTTGTTTTGAAAATGACAATAATTTATTATTATAATCTAATTTGTTCCAATTCAATAGTATCTTAAAAAGAGATTTGTCATACAAACTTAAAAACATAAAAATTGAGAAGGAAAAAAAATAGAGAAATCACATTTCGAATAAAATTTATGTTATTCGTTATTTATGCAACGCAATGTATACATTTCATCCCCACATACAATGCGTAAAAAAATAAAGGGACTCCCCTAAATAACTTTGATCTAATGATCGGATCTTCACGTTTTAGGACTCAATCTTACTGGTTCGAGGGGGTGACCTCAAATATGCTAATTAATTGGTGTAGATGATAATTTAAAGTTACGGAATCAGACACAAAAACATATTTCTATGAATAAACATACTTTTTCTTCAGCGGATTTGGATTTTTGATAAACAAATCCTCAGGGATAGCCGCAATCTACGAAATATCGTCCTCATAGTTTGGTCAGAAGATCGGTTTAAAACTTGAACTCCTTAATTTTAACTTCACTTTTTGCGTATTTGACCATATCTCGAGATTTTCAAGTGAATTGGAAAAGTTTTGTGCATAATTATAAAATTTGGGTATCCTAGGATAATTTCATGCAAAATATAACTTTCAGTAAATATTTAGTGTGTTTTTTATTATTTTATTTATTAACAGTAGAAAAAATTTCGAACTGTAAAGTATAAAATTTTTACATCGTTTTAGAGACCGCAATTTTATATGGCGAAATTCATGTTCTTATAAATCATTTTTACTCTTTCTTCTAAAGCATGCTTTTTATTCTATGATCAAAAAAGAAAAAGAAATCCTCTAAATTCAAGGTTGTTTTTCTATGTTCAAATAAGCAATTCATACACTAGATAGAATTTTTGTGTAGACAAAGTATCCCTGTAATGAAAATTCAAGTATAAGGCAAAAAAGTTTTCGAATTCTTGAGCAAAAGAAACTAATGCAAAAAACATTGAAATTAAACGTATAAATCAAATGCCAGCTATCAGTTTCTCAAAATGGCAAAATTTTTTGGTGTCTCTAATCCTATTCGTTCCAACTCAATAGAATCTTAAAGAGAGGTTTGTCACACAACCACAACATTTAGAAGAAAAAAAAGTATAAAATTGTCACCTTTTCAACTAAAATTTATACCTTTCGTAATTTATGTAACGCAATGTTTCTATTTCATCCCCAGGTGCGTCTGACGCATAATTTATCTTCTTCACTTTAGAGCGTTATTTAATGCCTCAAACGAGCATTCAAGCTTGAAAGTGAATTCACGCATGATCATTTTTGACTAAAATGACATGACTAATGCAGATTGCAAACCTTGTTGAAAGCAATATGGAGGAATAAAAAATATAAGGCCGACGGGCGAGAGTTTGGAATGACTTCCAGTCAAAATTGATGTCAAGAGGTCGTTTATACTTCGATACCTGAATGTTCAATTTTATTTGATTTTATAAAAGTTATCCATCTCTACGCATTGTATCGCTTACAAAAAAATTAAATTTACATAACACTGTTCGAATTTCCCTTCTGGAATTACGGTAAAATGACCGACAGCAGTCTATCTATTAGATTAACCTCAAAGTTTATGGTTAGGAACATTTTTTTTTTTAACTTTAAGGTCTTGAAACCGTTTACAACTCGTACAGTTAAAAAATCGTTTGAATGCAAAAATATGCGGTTTTGTAACCATTTAGTTTATCACAGTTTTTAAACCATAAAAATAAAATTTAAACAGATGTTGGAGCTATGTCGGAGCTGCGCTATTTATGCGTAATTGATAGTTTCTTTTTCTAATTCACAGATCGGAGATCGGGTCACAGATTGAAGAATGCAGGATACTAGAAATCCTTCATGTATTAAGAAAATAGAGGAAATATTATAGTATCAACGCTGGGATTTGAACCTCTGTTCAGCTGGTCATGAGATTGATCGATTAGCCCTCTCGGTGACACTATGTACCAAGCTGCTCGAACCAAAATGGCTTTATAAGGTTAGCCTAGTTGGCGCAATCGAATTCTGCTTGTTTAACCGTATTGAGAAAAGAACAATCAATAAATGTTTTTTCTTACACTTAACAGTTTGAATATCATCATTTCTATGGTTATTCGACTGTTTTCGTTGAATGTGGTAAAATAACACAAATTACTATTTGACCATTAAATAATTTGACCATTAATAAATTACTATTTGACCATTTTTACCGAAAAATTTCTAGTAGTATAGCATAAATATTGAAATTGT